CCGATAAAAAAGTCACATTTTTTCTTATTTTATCAAATTACAGAGAGATACCCGAACCACCATAACAAATATATACCTATTTAGAGCATGAAAATCTGCGGTAGTATTTATCCCTACCAACAGAGATTTGTCACAAAACGTCAGACTGACGTATGAGTGATGTGAAAATGACATTTTGGGGTCCAAAAAGACGTCATAGTGATGCGAATTTTCATCATTTTGACGTTTTGTGACTAACCTCTGTTGGTAGGGATGCTGTTAATTTACAATTACAGAGTGGTAGATTTTGATAAGAAGAACCTTCCAGGTGCACAAGACAAAAAAGGGCTAAAAATAAGACGGAAATTGAAGTTTTACCAGCCGCTGCCCTATACTACAAAAACAACCTAATAGTATTCTACATTTTCACATTCTAAAAATAAGAAAGTAAAATTATACATCACTACCACAGGTGATGTGCAAAGTACTATGCAACAGCCATGACAATTCGGAAAGGTAAAGTTCAAAAGGACTACAGTCGTTGACAGTCTAATTTCCAAATGTTTCACGAGGTGACACGACGAGGGACGTTATTGGGATATTGACATTGGGCGCCAAATGTTTCACTGAAATTTCGCTTCTCCTGGGAGAGCGAAGCTTGCTCGCGTCGCTTTATGATGATTTCGGAACATTTCTTGAGTGATAGGGTTTTGGACGGTTTGGATCACCGCTCCAAGCCAAAAATGCAACAACGTCAGATGGACGTCGACTAGGCTTGAAAAATGTGATTTTATAGTCACTCAAAGCGATATATCGACGTCGATGCTATTTTTATTTGGCTATAGAGTGTGCGTCGACCTGCCTATGGATAGGCAGATTAAGGTAGGCTCATTGCATCACCTTTGAGACGCACCATCCAATGAACTATCCTGAATTAAAGAAAGGGAAGCACTGCCGGAGTGTTTTGGTGCTGAGGGCGTGGGCACGCCACCGTCTTAAGACAGCTGCTTAGCCTACCCGTAGGCTGCGGGTTAGCCTACCCGCGCCGTGGCAGGCGCTATCATTACCGCCCCCTCTTCTGATTTATCGGTCGTCAGGAGCCCTAGTAAACATAAACAACGCAAAATTAACTCAATTATCCTTCAACGCGATTGCGCCATTGTCAGGAAGGTTCTTAATGGACAATAGAAGATGATGTCCAATCATATCTTACACTGATTTTGTCTTTTCTCTCACTGGGTTTTTCCTTGCCAAGCTGTTGACGAACTAGAGATTTACAATAATAAAATCTAAAGATAGTGGAATGCGAAAAACTTAAACAGTCTACATACTCTTCTTTTAAAAAAAAGTAATTTATGTTTCTTGAATTGTTACCTTGAGACTATTTGCATTCAAACCCAATGCTGACTCACAGTCTTTTACAACCCTTTGAAACAACTCAAGATGTAGATACGTAAGTGCCCTATTTTCAAATAAAAGAGCACTATCTCGTGTTTCATCAATTGCCTAAAAACAAGGAATTAACACAACTCACTAGACTAAATAGATTTAATATTGAGCTAGAATTTACTGACCTTGCTGTATAAGTCTAATGCTTCCTCAAATTTTTTTTCTCGAAAGGCTTTATTTGCTTTTGCTTTGAGTTCATCAGAACGTTGTTTTCTTTCCTTGCGATCCTTGGCCCTTCTCTGAGCATCCTTTTCTACTTGAGCCATGAAGTCCTCTGGGAAGGTATTTTTAAATTTAAAAAATGTGTGTTCTCATGGTTGTTTGCAGTTAAGTACATACATTTCCCCTCTTTTCTGACCTTTTGTCATATCTGTTGGATTATTTGTTCCCCCCACTACCTCGAAGGCTTTCTTGTTAATCACAGTCCGATCAACCCTGGACGACAGATTGGACTGGAGTTCGTCACTTCCCTCCTCAAGAAGACCGTATTGATGCTTGTGTGGCACTTGATCGCTACGCACCAGGATGTCTGCCATTTGACGGGCTCGGTCTGCTACTTGCGGGTCCGAAGATTTCAACATTTTCATCATGTGCTCTGAAAAGAAGTAATCATATCCAGCCTCTCAGTGTTTGATACCAAGAAATCAAAACCAAATCGTGCGTACTACTCAACTACTGCGTACCAACTTTCGTCACTCTCTCCATGAAGTTATCGAATTCGTCCTCTACCATAGTTAACGACTCAGCACAAAATATCTGCGGTTGGTTTTTCTTTATTCGCGTTTTAAATGTGGTAAAAATTCTAATGATTGGCACTTTATGTACTTGTTGCTATGACAACGCTTTTATAGTTTCGTTTTGTTGTCTCTGTCGTCCGCCGGGGGGTTAGGCAACCCATCCGACATGCACGCACACAGCAAATGTAGAGGAGTAGGGGATCTCCACTCCGCTGAGCGATAATGATACTGGTCCCTTAAGGAGAGTCATTCAGTGGAGGTTGCCATGACTATTTAAGAATGAATAGACCATTCCACTGAATG